GCACAGTCCACACAATATAACATTTGTCTAGATCAGAGCCATCAACCTTTGGGCTTACCTTGGGCTCTCGCCTGGCCACTGCTCCCACTCTCCTCCCATCCCAGCTGCTTCTGCTCTGGTAGCCAGGAGGGGGCTGGAATGCCTGAGCTGTACACATGGCCAAGAAAGGAGCCAAGTTGCCACGTGAGTGGTACATACAGCTTGCAGGGGAAGGAGGGCTGTGCATGTGGTAGGGTAGATGGTGCTGGGCACCCTGCATAGTAGAAGGGAGCTGGCAGGGGGTGAGACACCTGCCCAGTGTGTGGCCTCTGGCTCTGTAGCCCCCATGGCATCTGCCCCTGGCTCTGTGTCCCTGACGGCATGCAGCCCCTGGCTGCGCATAAGTTGGCAGCCCTGGTCTGTCTTAACATTTTTCTCAAGATCTCATGCTTACCTGCATGACACCAGTTGTGGTCACAAGAGGACACAAGGGACTGCACAGGTTGGCTCTTGACACACTGCTACCTGTCTTACATCCCAAAAAGCCAGGAAAGCAGAAGCTCTGAGCATGTGCTAGCATATACATGTTTAAGGAGACGTGATGAAAGAGCTATGCGACACTTGTAGTACCTCGTATACAACTATCATAGTGGAAGCATCAATGCATTTCATTGTATAGGTTGTTGAATGTGAATATACCATTTTGTTTCTCTCGCTCTTCTCTGCGCTCCCTGGCTAGTCTTTGTCTTTCTTCTGTTCTCAGAGTGGAACCGTCTATCACTGTCAAAAAGGGATATGCAATTGTCAGCTGTTTGCAACACTGATGGTTAAAAAAAGAAAGAACATGAGCAGCTGTTTCAGCTAGTTTCAAACAGACTATTAGAAGTATTACTGCATGCTTTCCTCCCCGTCGGACTGTGTACCCCATACAGGTGACAAGAGGTAGCTAACCACTTTTCTCACAAAAGCTGCACATGCTCTGGACACTCTCTGCTTTCCCCTTCGATAACCAATCCAGCATCCTTAAAAGAACTGGAAATAGCAGCTTTAGGATTACCTGGCCCAAGGGATTCAGTCCACTCAAAGCCTGAACACAGATTTAACATTATGTTTCCAATGTGGCCAGAGCCATGATAGATTCCTGAGAGATGTAAAAAATGAAGCTGTTTTTGGCTCCAGAGGTCACCATGGGAACAGATCACTGAAGTATTGTTATTAGAAATCCAGATATTAAGTCTTTGCAGATAGTAGCCAAAACCTTCATTTACACCTAGAAGTGACCTGATGTTCGAGCAGCTACTCAACTACGTCCTCTTCTTTTGGAGAGGTCAGAACTTAAGTTCCTTGAATGAGATTCTAACTATTCCAGCTAACTCTCACTTGTGTGTCCAGACCCTCAATGAGCCATAACACTTTTACACTAGTATAAACCAACCCTTGCACAGGTGGTAAGAAAAGGAGCAGACTTGACACACATCCCTTCACCATGAAATTCAACCTGGTGTAGTCATACTAGCGAAGTGCTCCAAGAGCAGCCCCCTGCGAGCAGATATCCTGGGGCAGAAGCACATCTGTCCACCCTCAAGCCTACTCTAACCTACGCAAGTCCAAGAAGCCAGTGCAAGTTGCACAGGTATAAATGTATTATGTGGCCAAACTCCAATGACTCAAGATCAACAACAGGCAAAGAGTATACCTGGTTTAGTTGCTGTCTTTATGTTTATTGAGGCCTGGACTGGAACAGGGCTAACGCCGCTTTGGCTTCTTCTTTCGTCCGCTATTGCTTGAGCTGCAGCAACTGTAAGAAAAAAAAAACCCTGTTTCATTTGAAGGAGCTGCTGCATATTAAAAAAAAATACAGCAAATGCTCAGGAATCAAGGATGCATATATAATCAGCATGCAAAGCTTTATATTAAACTGGTCCTCTCAGGCCCACTTCATAGAGAATCACAGAGAAGTGGGGCTGGAAGGGACCTCCAGAGGTCATCTAGTCCAATCTCTCCCTGCCTGAGGCAGGATCAGCTCTATCCCAACCGTCCCATAGAAACCACAATCTATTAAACTCTACGTAAGACTACCATGAACCCTGACACAACACAGACCTAACACTTCTTAGATACTCGTATGCTCCTTAGAATTGCAATGCCTGTCTATAGTCCGTTATAAAATCCATGTCAAACGAGATCAGGAAGAAGCGCATGTGTGAATTCAAGCCTCACGCAGCTCTACTCTTACAGGCCAGAGGTCCCAAACCACTAAGTTTTATTTTTGGTACATGTAGAAAAGCAGGAGTCAGTGGTTTCAAACGGGGTCTAATATGTTAAATAGCTTAAGAGTGCACTAGCGGTTTAGCGTAGCAATTGGTTCAAATGCTAAAAACACCCAAGCCCTTTCTATTCCCCTTACAAAAAAATATTCAGAAGTGTGTTTATATATGAAGGCGGGGAAATACAGACAAGCTATTAGCACTCAACAACCCTGAAGCTGCGAAAATGTTTCTAGACATTTTTTGTTATTCTTTCTTTAGGTAAATTGAGTAGGAAGCAGGTGAGCAGCAGGCGTTAAAATAATGAATGTTTATTAAATATTTAGAGATGTACATTTTCAGAATTAACCGAGATCCCCGTGCCCAAATCCTACAGCCAGAGCACGCCTAAAGGCCTCATTGACTCCAGTAGTGTCCATGCAGGTACACAGACTAATTGCAGGGCCAGGCCTTCGATTTACACCAGCAGAAAGATTTATCATCTTCAGGTTTGTTTCCACCTGTGTGTGCACATTCCTTGCATCTTTCTGTCAACTCCCATTTGAACTTAATCATCCTGCTCCTCCAGCTGGCCTGAAAGTCCTGGCCAGTGGAAGTGGTGTTAGGAGAACGATACAGGATCAAGACAGTATAGTACTCCTATCTAAATAATTAAATAGGAAAGTTTTCTTTCAACACTGAGGAGCACAACACTCCTAGCTTCCCCTCCCGACAGCCAGGACCACAAGGAAAGGATGAGAAAACCATCTGGATTCTTTAGGAACCAGAAACGCCCCCATACACCCTTCCAAGACAGTACCGACTCAAGCATGCAAGAACTGAAATGACTAAACTCTTGGAAAATTAGATTTGTTTTAAACAGCAAAGTTATCTTAACAAACTGATTGATACCTTAGAGTGAAAAATGAATTATTACATTTATTTAAACACAACTAAAGAAAAGGCTTTGTCAGAGATCTAAGACTTGCCTTTAATTGGGAACTGCTGAATGTGGAGGAGGAAGGAAGAACATTTCTCATCGCCATGTATTACCATGACAACTAGTTCTGTCATGGTAATAATCCTCCCTAAGGCTGCACCCAAGAACAATCACCTCAAAGTGCTTAATCCCATGTGATGCCAATGATAAATACCGATTACAATACTTATTCAGCAACTCTAAATTGTCACCCGCAGCTGTTGCAATGTCTTGCATTAATTCCTCATTACAGCACCAAACAGAAGTCTTCTTACATCTTTCAGCCTCTTTTTATACTAATGAGGGATATCAGGGAGCACAACATAATCTCACCGATTCATAAAACCCAGCATGTAGCAATTGAGAACCCACACGGTTAAAAAAATAAAATAAATAAAACACCCTAATTTTGTACGTCGTGGCACTTGGCCTGCCGGCAAAATATTAATTCAGCTGAGTCCAACAACTAGAGACTGAGCTGTTTAGACATATATGCTGAACACGGCAAAACAGGAAAGAAGTTGCAAGACAAAGCACAGAGTACAGCAGTATGGGTGTGGACGCAACACTTCTGTAGCGGGGACAGCTTCAGCAATCGTTTAAGGAATCAATGGGAACACCACGAGCAATCATAATACACAGGGTAAGAATAAAGCTGAAAGCTGCTTTGATAAAGAAGCCAAGCTACAGCCTCTCCTTTTGCAACAAGGACGGTAAGGACGGTGACAGAGATGAGCTCTTGCAGCAGAGACACCCAGGGAATTCAAGGCAACATCAGGTGGAAAACAGTCCCTCCTGCTTCAGCCCCGGCACAACCAGGTTGAACATTTTTGACATCACTCACGCCAGGGCGCTAACACCTCTCCTGATATTTCTGCCTGGATTGTAAGCATCGATTCTACTATTCTACAGCAGAACCAGGCCTTCATTAAAAGGAGCTGCCATTCAAATTGGTATATTCAATGGGTTAAGTAAATCTAATTTTCCTGTACTACTTGAAAGCCTGATAAACAGATTAAAGGAACTGAGAAGAGAATAGCTAATCAATACAACCCTCAACATGAGGAATCAGGACTTGCAGTAGAGGTGATGTATCTTTCGTCAGAACAACTAGATTTTTGGGAAAAAAATTCTTTCATTACAAGCTTTCGGGCACAAACACCCTTCATCAGACACAGGAGAAAAGATGGTAAAAGTTATCCTGGGTGGAAATGACAGGTCGTATTTCAGGATACCCTTGACGATTCATTTTTAAAAAAATGAAAAAAGTACAAAACTGTTTCAGTTACTTATAGAATTAGGAAAAGCTCCAGCAACTTGCATCTGGAAAGACCATTAGTCATTTCACTTGAAAGAAGTAACTGAAATTAAGACGGGCTTGTAAATGCAAAGGGAAACAAGGAATTAAACCTTGTGGAAGAGGGGCTATCTTTTATAAGAGCCACTAGATATTTGCAAACAAATTATTGTATTTATATGCAAGCTTTCGGGCACACACCCTTCATCAGACATAGGAGAGAGCAGAGATTGAAATATGAATTTTCTTTTCTACCTAGGAGAACTTTTACAGAGAGCAACAAAGTAAATTAGAGGCACAGTAGATCTTATGTAGAAGAGACGGCCAAAATCTAGTCTGTTGGCATCAAGAAGAGACGAACAAGGACTTCCACTGAGATCTAAGGAGGAGCAGTAAAAGCTGAACTGTTTTTCCTCAGTTTACTCTCCCATGACTTCCATGGAGCTAATGCAATGGACCTGGCAAGAAGCAACATTTATAACCAAGGGAAAAAGCCTGGAGCCAGCATATTTAATTCAATGCCACAGGAAGCCGGAGTGAACAAACGAACGAGGGAAACAGAATGTGAAAATGTAATTCAAAGGAACAATTTTCACATCAAATCCAGCCCCAAACATAGGGTCTGTGAAGTTACCTTTTCACACCGGCTCAGATCAATGTGAAAAGTTTCAACAGCTATTTCTAAGCTCTAGGGAAGCTCAGAAGAATCTCTCTGCAATGTTTCCAATCCAAATGTCCTACCTTATCCTAACAGAAAAGGAAGTAACCTGGACTCGGCTGGGCAAGCTGAGGAAAATGCAAAATAAAAACCGAACAATGCTCCTTGCAACAACCATTGTTAAACAGTTTCATTGGCAACAAGGGCTCAGGAGCACAGGTGTCCATCCCACAGGCCCCACTGCCAGCCCTGGGGACACTCTGTTTATAAACATGCTTGAACTCTTTACCGAGTCTCCTGTCCAAACTTTATCATCGTCCCCACGCTTCCGCGTTCAGCACACGACATGGCTCAGAGCAGTGTTACCGCAACCCACAGCGTTTGACAGACACGGTAGGCAAGCAAGTGTTAAGTGAGTTTCTAAGAAGGAAAAAAATACTTGTCCGACAGGCAGGGCCAGACAGACTCCTGCGCTGAGCACCTTCTGGCCGGCTGACCTGGCCGTGGCCTTCACCACTGAAGTCTGCAACGAGCTCCATTTCTGCTTGCCTTGCAGTTCACCTCTGAGCCCTTCAGCTGGATTTCATAAGGGTATAGACAGGGTTACAGCCAACAATAACACCTCTACTCAGACATACCGGGGAGGGGACCGTGGGATGTAAAGCGACTGCGAGGGTGGGAAGGCAGCTCCCCCAAAGCCATGCAGCACTGCGCAAATGCCTGTGTGCATGGTTGCGCAAACTCTGGGAACAGCTTATTAATGGAGACTAGGGACTAGGTAAGATGGGCTACCCAGTCCAATCCAGTACGTCAGATCCTAGATTCCAGGCCAATTTTTTAGCCCACAAACCAGAGAGAGACAGGCACTAGAAAAACCCCAAACTCCAACCTGATGTGAAGAGACCACTGCAAAGGGCACGTGTTATTTCAAATCTCCATGCTGAGCCTCCACCAGGACTGCCAGTAAGGATAAGGAAGCTATGTGTGCCGAATGCTTTTTAAGTAAGAGCGTAACACTGCATTAGGAACCGTATGGACCTCACCCTCCACCTGCTTCAAAAAGCCCTTCTCCAGGGTACTCTGAACATCACCAATCCCATCGTACTCTCCCACTCCACTCCTGTCCAAGTCAAACTGCACTTGTTTGCCAGGAAGCAGCGCTCCTTTAAACCCAGTAATGCTGCAGGGAGGTTCGGAAGCAGCGAGAAGTGCCCGCTTTACCCAAGGGCTGGGCATACGGGCTCTCCGTTCGGTATGGAGTGGGCACATGCAGCTTGAACCTAGATGACTTCGCAGTAATTCCTCCGACTGTCAATCTGGCCCACACGATGCTCACTGGTTTCACCGAAGCCAAGTGTCCCAGGAACAGCACCTGCATTACAACAGAAAACGCAAACTACAGAGAAAAAAAAAGTTACATATGATTTTAGCACTTAAACAATGAAAACATTGTCTCCTGCCGCGCAAGTTCAAGCCAAAGACATGTAGATATGCATCCGTGGGACTTGTGGCACGTTTTTCTTATCGAAATAGAATTATGCGATGGCTGGCAGAGACGTGGGTTTGACAGGTTTTACATGTTAACAACCAACTTACTCTCTGGATTGATTTGATTTCTTGTTCTTATGCAGCCCCCGCATTTTAAAGTCAAGTCTAGCCAA